CCCGTCACTCAAGTCGATAATAATGAATTCTTCCTGAAGGCAGGTCAAAAGTTTAATAAAAAGGGAAGAGTTTACAGCTTGGAAGCATATGGTAGCCAATTGAAGACTATTAAGCGCCTTTCCAGGATTGACCTAAGTCATAATGTATTTGCAGATGAGCTTGCCAGGATACGATGATTGATTGAAGAATTGCAGGCCGAGCTGTAAAACCAAAAAGAGAAAATGGCGCCGAGTTGTAGCAGACGAAGGCGGAACAACAAGAGATGGCTAGGGACTTGAAGAAATTGATTGACAAGATGGCGAGGAAGAAGCAGAAGAGGAAGGTGAAGATAAAGAAGGCACATTCAATTCAGTCCCCTTTATTTATTTTCCTTTTACATGTATTATATTAATAAATAGTGTTATGAATGTTAAGTTGATTAGTTGGAATCAGTAAGACTAGGTTTCTTTTGAAAAAAATATTGTCCTTTGGAAACTTACGATTACATTGAGCACAATAAGTTACTCAAACAAAAAGTTCTCAAATATCATTTTGCATGAACATAAAAATGGCGAAATAGTTTTTCTAACTATTTTTCTCCTTTTACGTCCCCTAAACCCTTGAAAAAGGGTTTTCTTTAAATAAAATATATTATCGGTTGAAGTTCACATGGTATAGGTCTCAAAAAGTTTCTCAAAATAAAATTATAATCATCTACTTTAGTCAACCGAGCGATAAGCTCTATAAATTTTTTTGAAGGAAATTCGGGACGAGAATTTTTCTGTCTCTATTAGTGATGGATTGAGAGACGAAAACCACACGTTCAATCTCCAATTCATCAATAGAGACAAAAAGCATTTAGTCTCTATCAATAATGGATTGTGTTCCATCCCTAATAGAGATATAATTTTTTCTGTCTTAATCTGTGATGGATATAGATACAAAAATACACGTTCGGTCTCTAAATCTAAAGTTGTCAAAATGGGCTGAAGCCCACAAGTCAACTCATAAAGTCCTATATTTGGCCCTAACCCATTAGGGCCTTTTTATAGTAGGGCCTTTTTTTGCTCTAACCCTCAAAACTCTATAATTTAGCGGATTGGGTTAAGGTTGGCCCGCGGGCCAAACTTTTTCCTTTATCCAAATTTTCATTATTTAAAAATATATAAATATAAATATAAATATTAATAAATATAAAATAAATTATGAAAATAATAAGTAAAAATAAATTTTTCAACAATGATATGTTTCAACAGAGATTTTTATCTGCGCATCAGTAAAAATGATTTTTTCTATTGACATCTCAGCATGTTGTATATCCAAATTTCTAATGAAACATATTGTATACAATGTATCTTAGTAATTTTGTGGATAATAATTAGTAAAAATATTTTTGTAAAGGTAGTAGTTGAAGAAAATTAATGGTTTAACTTTTAAATATATAGCATACTAAGAGCAGTTATTCTTATTAAGATCATTTTTTCATCGTCACTTTTGATTTTCCAATAGAGTTGCTTTATTCTGTTTTAACTCCTGGTGAGAAAATCTTCATTTGATGACATCATTTAACAACGAATTTAGTAAAGGTAGTAACTAAATTTCAATTTATATTTAAATTTGTTTTTGCATTTTCACTTGTATATTTGTGTACAAATATTACTTTATTAAAAAATTAAGTTATAGAAATTTATAATTTGTATAAAATATTTTAAGAAAGTGCTAAATATTTATTTGTTAAAATATTTTTTAATGTATTGAATATAATAAAAAACTATTTTATGAAATTATAATATTAGATGGCCCAAAGGCTGATCATAGCCAATAGGGCTTTTGGCCCGTGCGGACCTTTGTTATATAGGTTCAGTTGGTCTTGTGGGCTTTTTAGCCCAAACCCACAAGGGCTAAGGCCTAATGGCACCGGCTAACCCATTTCGACAATTGTATCTAAATTTATTACTAATAGAGCCATAATTTTTTTTGTCTCTATCAACGAGGGATTGCATTCCATATTTAATAGAGACATTTATTTGTCATACTTTTTTGAGACAAAAAAGTGATCTATCTTTATTTGGAATGGATTTTGAGACAAAATCATTTACTTACATCTCAAAATCCATCCCAAATTGAGACATATCATTTTTCGTCTAAAATAAGGACGACAATTAACTTGTCTCTATTAGGGATGGAACACAATCCATAACTGATAGAGACAAAAGAAATTTCTATCTATATCAACGACGAAATTGGAGGCGGAATGTGTAGTTTCTTCTCTAATTCTGTCACTGCTAGAGATGGAAAAAAATTTGTCCAAAAATTCCCTCTCTCAGTCCAAAAGTACACACTTAATATTACCCTATTTTTTATATATTTTATCCTGCCTCTAAATCCAAACAGAAAAATAGTAGTCTCTATTAGGGATGGATTTAGAGATGGAATCAGGTCCAATATTAGAGAAGGATTTGTTTTTCTTCTCTAAATCTATCAATAACGGTGAAGGAAATTTTGTCATCTCTACTTTTCTCCCTATTTGTGATTGATTGTTATTCCATCTCTAAATCAATCTTTATTAATGATGGAATTTTTTCTGTCTCTAATCTATGTTTTTTGGTAGTATTTTGTGTTTAAATCTAATATTTTTAATCTTATATATCTCTAAATTTAAATGATTTGTTGTTTGGATTGATATAAGTAAAGTGAACACGTCAGTTAATTACTAGCATATTCTAAATAAGATTATATTTATTTCATATTTAAAATGCTTCATTTTTATGGCTATAAAAAAAATGCTTCATTTTTATACAAGTAGAACTTACTTTTGTTATAGAAGTGTGGAGAATACAAAAAGATATTCAATGAAGAGTAATTTCATGAAATTTAATAAGTTTAATTTATATCAGGAGAATTTTTTAATTTATAAAATTATTCCCAAATACTTCGTATTGAGTTTAAATATGATGGGTGAGGATTGATTGTGTGTAAAGACAATGGAATTTAAGCTTGACAAATGGACAAAATAATGCCATTCAAGATAATTGTAAACAATTTGAAACACCAGAATGGAGCCTAAGGTGTTTAGACGAAGTTGAGGAGTGATAGAAAAATGATGTAAAATCTCAATCTTAAACCCAAAAGTTATTGGTTTAGTGAGTGTCTGGGTAGATCTTAGGATTTGACTTGCCTAAATTATAGAGGGTTCGAATTTTGAGAGTCACAATTCTTGAAAAGGATGAAAAGGCACAAATCTAAAATTGGATGAGTATGGGGCAATAAATTGTTGTATAAGAAAGAAAAAAGATTAACGAGAACTATTTACTTTTATATGAATGTGGTAGAAAAAAATTTTATACATCAAAAATAGAAAAATTAAACCCTATCTAAATACCATATAATTTAATAATATATTATTTGAAATTTTTATGATGATTTTCTTATGGAAAAAGTGTTTGTCATTTAAAATGACATAAAGTTATGTCATTTTAAGAGAGATAAATACAGAATAAATTTTTTTATTTAAATTTTAAATTAAAAAAACCACCCACTTTCTCTCTCCCATGATTTCTATTTGTATGTCTATCTCTCTTCTAAAATGACATAACTTATGTGATTTAAAATGATAAACACCAAATCCTTTTCTTAGATGTATGGAGTAATTTCGGAAACATTGATATCTATGAACGAAGATAATGTGAGCTTTTGTATTAATGAGGTAAGTGTTATTCCTAAAGCTACCTACACGTTTTGAGTATTGAAATCTTCTCCTAACTAGGATATGAAAATGTTCAGAAGATATTTAATTGGTGATCAATGTGTCTTTGTCCCTTGGATGTTTCCTTTTAAGGGGAGGAATTAGGATGAGTGTAGTCTTACTATTACTCCTTAAGGTTACAAACTTTTCTTGCTTTGCATTTCAAGCCTTTCTTCTGTCTGTTGACCGAAAATGACCTTATCATCTCACTTGACCACATCCTCCTACCAAAAGAGGACTAATAAAGCATGATTGACAAACACTGACCGTTTGAATCACACCTAATCTTATCCTCATTTTCCCATGCGCCACACTGTATCATTGCCATAACAGTTCAACGTTGACCGTGAAGATCTTTTCTAATCCAATGCCGAATCTCTATTTCAAATGGAGGACCGTCCTCTCAGCTTTCCTGTAGAAGCCGAAATCATTTTTTCATTTTTTTTCATTTTTAAGTCATTACAAGCCAAAAGCCTAAGTGGTTGTGCCTATGCCATGACAGCAACATACACCGAACCCACTCTAATAAATAAACATAATAATAACCATAATAATAATAATTATTATTATTTTAAATTAACCACAAGTTAATTACTTATAAATAAAACTTTAATTATTACTACTTATTTTCTTACATCAAAGTAAAAGAAAAAATGGGTTAAGTAACCCTTTTGCCCTTATTTTTATAAAAAAAAATCACTTTGTCCCTTTATTAAAATTATATACCAAATTTTAATATGTTGTATATATATTAATGGCTTTTTTGTATAAAAATATTCTAATTAGTTCATTGCTTCACGATTAATATAGTCTACAAAATTAAAATTTTAAATCATTCTCAAAATGATAACGAGAAAGATGATCAAACACATACTTTCACTTTCGCTTCGCTGTCAATAACTTACTCATACGGTATATATGTCTTTGAAATAGGTGCTTGGGTTGGGAGCCTAATACGGGAGAACAATTGTCAATCATCCGAAAAAAGAAGAAGAAGAACTTAATGAATTTGTATTTGTGCATAAATTATTTGCCATCGTCGGTCCATTCAGAAAAATATCGAGCGAGTGAAGCGAGACTCTGAGAGAGAGAGAGAGAGAGAGACAATGCAAAAGCGAAAAGCGACAACATTGCTTACGAGGCAACCAGCACAGCTTGCGTCACAATCAAACACAGAGCAAAACGGCACCGTTTTGTCTCATCTCGTTCGTTCCACCCATTTGCATTTGCTTCAGTTCCACCCCAATCCAATTTTATAATATTATTTTATCTATTCTATTTTCTATCCCTTCGCCACCAAACCATCACACGCCATTTCTCAAAGTCTTCCCTTCACCCCCCACTCCCACTCCAAACCAGATTCCCTCACCGCAGATCGTCGTCGTTTTGCTCTCCATCCAAGACGACGCCGTATTTGGTTCTCTAAATGTAATCTCTGCTTACAAAAAAAAAAAAAACCCAAAAGGTTCTGTTGTTGTTGTTTTTTTTTTTTTTTTTGGGTTCGGTTTTTTGGGTATGGATCGGGCGTCGGTGACGGTTGGACCGGGCATGGACATGCCGATCATGCACGACAGTGACCGTTACGATCTGGTCCGAGATATCGGGTCCGGGAATTTCGGCGTGGCGAGGTTGATGCAGGACAAGCAGACCAGGGAGCTAGTTGCTGTCAAGTATATCGAACGTGGTGATAAGGTTGTTAGTATTTCAGTTTTACACTTTTATTATTCTGAATGAATGCTAAAAAGTTATTTTTTCTATTTAATTTTTTAATTCTTTTTTACGATGTTCTCTCTGTTGCCCCTTATTTTGGAAAATTTTTGTTTCTCACGTTTTGGTAAAGAAAAAAGAAAAAACATAATTTATCACATGATCCTTTTGTTTTAATTTTTGCGTGAGTCTTTGGTTGCTGCTGACGTGTTTTACTATTTATACCAAGTTTCATGTTTCCTTATTTGTTTCAGTACTTCTTGCTACTAGTTTGTGTGTGTGTTTTTTTTTTTTTTTTTTTGTTCTTTTTTTAACTCTATTCACTTTAAATTCTTACTGTGTTATTGTGTGTCTGTTACAGATTGATGAAAATGTCAAGAGAGAAATCATTAATCATAGGTCTCTCAGACACCCTAACATTGTTAGGTTTAAGGAGGTTAGTATATTTTTTTATATTTATACATGTATAGAGGATGGGTAATCACATTTATCTCATTATCTGTAATTATCTATGAAATTTCACTTAGGTCATTTTGACACCTACTCATCTGGCCATTGTAATGGAATATGCATCTGGAGGAGAACTCTTTGAGCGAATCTGCAATGCTGGGCGTTTTACTGAGGACGAGGTTTTTATTTAATAAAATTGTAAATTTAATTTGACTTGCCTATGTAACTTGGTAACCCATTGTTATGATGCAGGCTCGTTTCTTCTTTCAACAACTAATTTCTGGGGTCAGTTATTGCCACGCAATGGTAATTAAACTTTCCCCTTTTCATCACTGTCCAATCTAAATTGTGTTGACCACTTTACCCTACAGTGGAATCTAGTATAGGTAATGTATCTTTCTTCTGAACATTATGTCTGATGTATCAGTCTTCTTTGTAATATGTCTCTTCATGAAGCAAGTATGTCATCGGGACCTAAAGTTGGAAAACACTTTGTTGGATGGAAGCCCAGCGCCTCGTTTGAAGATATGTGATTTTGGGTACTCCAAGGTAAGGGTATCTTTATCTAACTAGTTCTTCATGGTGTGAGTTCCTTGCTTATATATCTTAATGCGATATGTTAGGTTGAGTGATGTTTACTTTTCCTCCAATAACTTTCTGCTTCTGAGTGCTTCTTTAGTTTCCTTGTGTGAGTTGCTTTTGTTTTTCAGATTTAGACCGTGATGACTGATGATTGAATTAGGTAGCTTCTTTTATCTTAAAAGATGATTTCAGTAATTTGGGATATTGGAAAGGGGCAATTCTGCATGACTGTTTATGGTGAATTTTGATAATCTAAATTTTTTTTAATGAGCTTGTGCTTCATTATGCAATGCGTAGTGTTAGCGTTTGGCTTGCCTAGATTTTAAGCCCGCAAAGTTGTCGTATATAGCTTTGATAAAAAGATAATGTTCCATCCATTATCAAGTCATGGATGGGGTGATAATTCGCTCAGGAGAAGGCGTGTTTGAACTTCTAAAGAACACTGGCATAGTGGCATTCCCTTCCTCTGTTTCAAATTTTTAACCTGCTTCTGCTTGTGTCTGTGTTCTCATATAGGTGCAATGGTGCATGAAAATAACTATAAAATGTTTCTGGTTTTCTTCAGAAACCCGATAACTTGGCCTTTGCACCTTTTGATGTTGCTAAGCTAATTCTACTTGTATTTTTGTCTTTTGTTTTAGAGTACACTGGAATTAAAATTCACCATGACTTGCTTGTATTTTGCTGTTATCCTTTTAATTCATTGATTCAATTTTCTTCTGGCTTGTAAGCACCGAAATATTTCAATTTTCAATCTAATGAGGGACTTCACAGATTTATATCATCATTAGATCCTAGTTTCTTTTCTTGAAGGATTTGAGATCATTGTTATACCTTAGAAATCTGATTGATGTTGTTATTTGCAGTCTTCAGTGCTTCATTCGCAACCAAAGTCAACTGTGGGAACTCCTGCATATATTGCTCCAGAAGTATTGCTGAGACAAGAGTATGATGGCAAGGTAGATTATTTTGGTTTCATGGTATTTTTCCTTTTGTATAGAACTATTACTGTCGCATTTGACTGAAGAAATTTTTTTATTGTCGACTTGTTATAATTGGTGAGCTAGTGAGTCCTTCGCTTTTTGTGCTATAAGGAACTAAAGCAATGATATTTTGACAGTCGTTCTGTTCTCACCTAGTCCAATGGTCATTTTAGTCTGCACTCCAAACAAAGGTCATTTTTCTTTTCTGGTTGTCATCTCCACGTAATTCAGGTCTTCTTGGCACTAGTTGAAAATCTTTACATAGTTGACACTCTACATTATTGTCTTATATGTCCACTATTGTGAACTAAGAGAATGGTAGGTAATTTACATTCTGCTCTCTTTGCATATAAAAGTTCTTAAAAGTTTCTTATTTTATTAGTTTTTGTTTTTGTTAGATAATAAAAAAAAAATGAACTTCTAAGTGTAATTAAATAATAAAATTAGTTGAGATTGCTGTTGTCCAACTTGCTTCCTCCACTCTTCCATATTTCATTCCCACTCTTCCTCTCATTTTTTTTTATTTAAAATCATTTTTTAAATTTGGTTTGATGTATTTTTAGTCTTCAATATTCAAATCATAACCATTGCGCTACTTCACCACCTACAGATAAGTGTGTAATCCTAAGCTTCCCCCCTCCCTTCGGTAATAGAGTTTAGTAGTGTGATTTGCTTCTCTCACCATTTTATTTGTTCTGTAACTTGAGTACAATTTTCAATATCAATAGATAAGCCCGGGTTCGAAATTGGATTAAACATCAAACATTTCAATTTTTAACTTTACTAATATGTATGTTGGGTATCTTAATGGGGTGCTGTTATTTTGCTTTTGTGCATTTAATATCAGATTGCAGATGTTTGGTCCTGTGGAGTAACGTTATATGTGATGCTAGTCGGAGCATATCCTTTTGAAGATCCTAATGAACCAAAGGATTTCCGGAAGACAATTCAGGTAGATATGATATTAAGATATTTGCTCATTTTCTTCATTGAGTATTGTCTGATTGCTCGAGTGCAACTTGTTGTGGTTGCTTCCTTGCAGAGAATTCTCAGTGTCCAGTATTCTATTCCAGATTTTGTTCAAATATCTCCAGAGTGTCGCCACCTTATCTCAAGGATCTTTGTTTTTGACCCTGCAGAGGTAATTTCTATTTTAAATAACTGACCTACTTCTGCTTATATGAATTTGACACTATACTATCCCTACGTAATTTTGTTGTTTAGATGCATTTTTATATACTATCACTGAATGTCCTGTTTGAGAGCTCAAGCAATATTTCTTACGTTACATGAAATCAATTTTTAGAATTTAAAGGATTTTTAGCATAATTATTGGGCATTTTCCTTCTCTAAGGAAGTTTTATTCAATTTATTATAATATTTAACTTTTACATTTTATATAGGTCATGCATGGTTGTAACTTGTATGTCTATCATATTATAGAAATATATTGTGGGCATAGCTGCAGCTGTATAACTTAAAAAGTGTGATCATAGGAAACAGGGCAAAATCTTGAATATACCATTTGGACCTATTGATTGTACAGTATATTGATTAGACTTCTACTCGTGCTAGCCCAATCATTTATTTGAATCTTATGCCTTCAGACATTTATGTGACAGAGAATCACCATGCCTGAAATTTGGAACCATGAATGGTTTTTGAAGAATCTCCCTGCGGACCTGATGGATGAGAAGATAATGGGTAACCAATTTGAGGAGCCAGACCAACCCATGCAGGGCATTGATATAATCATGCAGATAATTTCAGAAGCTACAATACCAGCAGCTGGGACCTATTCTTTAGACCAGTTGATGGCAGATAACATTGATATGGATGATGACATCGATGAATTAGAATCTGAATCTGAGCTTGATATAGATAGCAGTGGGGAAATAGTGTATGCCATATAATATAATCATCGTCTGCACCTGAAAGACAGCATATTAGGAGAGCATCATAACATTGGGATTTATGGCATTTTCAGCATCAAGGAAAGAGATATATGTGGTGGTCACATTTCCTGTAGATTAGGATGGATAATGCAAAGAAGTTCATGTTAATTTATATATGTTTGCGTGCTTCTTGGAGTTTCCAACGTCCACACCATTTGTCAGTATCATTTTACACTCTAGAAGAAGTTGGTAGCTGTGGGAAGAAATTATTGTTATCCTTTCCTTACTAGCTGGTGAATACTTGCTTTATATATTATATTTTGCCGTTAGGTTAAGTGAGTCATGTTTCATGCCCCTGCTTATATGCACATACTACGTGTAAACAGTTAATTTTTATTATGCATATTCGTCACATATCCTAGTTTATGGACTTCCTTCTTAGTTATGTGTATGTGTATGTATCATGTGATGTAGCACATTTTATTCCTGTAAACTATTTCGATCTGTTTTGCTCCTTTCGGTTGGCACATTGCTGTACCTCTTATATTCACGTAGTTATATATACAATTTAGATGGAAGTCATAAATACTATTTGCCAAACAATTGTACACAATAGAATTAAATTCGAATGGAGGGCTTTGGGGCTTTATTTCCTGAACTTAAGGTGGTCCGTTCTCTCTATACTTTATGTTTCTGCATTCATTTCTCTTTTAATTTTATTCTTATAGCTAATGGCAATTTTTGTGTCTATAGTATAAGGTTTTATTCTTTTTCTTACTTTATGTGTGGAATATTTGGCTAATTTTTTATTTTTAATTTCATGTTATGCTTAATAAGTGACTTTCCGTGACAAAAAGGTTATATATATATATATATATATATATATATATATATATATATATATATATGAGAAATATTACTCTCATTTCACATGAGACATCTTATCTCATTTTCTTTCACTTCGATTTCCGCACTTTTTTCTTTTTTCTTATTTCCTCTCTACAACATAAGCACCCCCCTATATATATATATATATTATATATATATATACATATGGTGGGACCCACCTATTTTCTCTCTACAACATAAGATAATTATCTTATGCAAAAGGAGATTAATAAAACCCTATATATATATATATATATAGATATATATATATATATATCTATATATGTGACTTTATTAATCTCTATCTCTTCAACATAAGAGAGTTTTTCTCTTATGTTGAAGAGAGTATATATATATATATATATATATATATCTATGTTGAAGAGATAATTATGTATATCTATATATATATATATATATATATATATATATATATAGAGAGAGAGAGAGAGAGAGAGAGAGAGAGAGAGAGAGAATATTTTGATACTGATGTTAAAGAAAAAGTTTGACATCTCATTTGAGAGCCATTAGATTAAAGCAAATCAATGGTGTCACATGTTTATAAATTAGAGTTGTTAGATCAAAGCAAGATTAACGACACTCAGATGAGGTATTAAATTTTTTTTTTGACATAGGTGTCGAAGAATCCTATTATATATATATATATATATATATATATATATATATGGCACGGTAGAAAAATTTTGTCTGAGACATTTTTTAGGATACGTCATCGGATCCTGGTAATTTTTTTTAAAAGAAAATCAGCAGTTCTCATTTTTTGTCTCTGGCAGAAAGCAGATATTTACCGCTGTTGCGGAAAAATCGAATCCTATATATATATTTATGGGGTTTCAACTTCTGCAATAACAGCAGAAGATCAGGGTTCCTGCAAAGAGAGAAACTTGGTGGACCCTATCATGTTTGTTTTAAAAAAAAGAAAGAAAACAAACAAACAAAATTGTTCAGTCAGTAGCAGGAAGAAAATATATTTGCCCTATATATATAGGGTAAAGTATTTCTCCCGTCACTAGAGATAAGTTATCTCCGGTGACCCCCAAAATTACGTCGTTTTGAATCAATAAAGGGTATTTTTATAATTTTAAGTGAATTAATGAAGAGTGTTTCAATAAAATTCATATAATAAAAAAATAAACAAAATTATGAAAACACCCTTCACTAATTCAAAACAATATAATTTTAGGGGTAAGTGGATATAACTTATCTAGAATGATAGATAAAGCACTCTTGATTGTTTCCTACTATCTTGGTTGTTTCTTAGGTATCTCTTAGGAGTGGTTTTCATATTTCATTGTATTTCATGATATGTTTCATAATTGTTCTACTATTTGAAGCTTCTAAATGTTGATCTTGATGTAGAGAAGTTTTAGTTTTTGTTATTTATAATTGCTTGCAAGGAAATTTTCACAGGTAATTATTCCAACAAAATCTCTTCCTCTTTGGTCATACAAAATTGTAACTAACTCTTTAGGCTAATGATCATTTCAACCTAAGTAATCTTTCCAGGAAAGCTCATCTCTTTCACATTTCTATCATCCTTGACATGCCTTTCTAGGAAGCCTAAATTATTATTATTTTTTGTTCTTTTTGTTTTTAAAAGGGTTCGTTAGTAATAAGCTAACCAGGAGCATGCATGTAAATTTAAATAAAAATATCATGAATCATGTTATCATAAGAAAACATTTAGGCTTTCTACTATCATGATCCAGAGCATTAAATGAAAAAGAAAAAAGATTTTATGTACCTTCTAACTATGACATAAACCAAATTCTTGATGTTTAAATTATGGATGATGTTCATTGCTTTCTTGCCATCCTTTTCTAGTTCATGCAGTTCTGCCCATATGTCAATCAGGGCAGGAACACGTATCCTTTGGTCTTCAGGAAATAGTCCTAGGTCCATGAAACACTCTTTCTCCTTGATGGAGGACTCGTCTACCTCTATATCCAAGCTATTTTTGAGGCAACTCAATAAGTCATTATTAGACTTAAGAATGGACTGACTTTCCAACCGTTCTTTCATAATTTGCCATTTCTCAATAGGCAGATTACTGAGAGATCCACCAATGACTTCAATGGCCAAAGGTGAACCCTTACAACCTCTCACTATCTGCATTTCAGTGCAAGCAAGTAAAATCAGTATTGTATATGATAATTGTCTTGGAAAACAGGGATGTAAGTATTGAAGTTATTGCTTTGAAGGGGAGAAAGGATCTAACTTTGTTCTAGTAACCATTTTCTTTATTCATTGTTATTTTGTAAATATTCAAATGTGGCATGACAACTGACAACAATTCAACAAACATATAATTTTTTACTCAACATTCGATTATGTCTCTATGGTGTGAAAGATTTTAGAGAAGTAGAAGAACATAAAATAAGTATATTCTTATACATCACAAGGTAAGAGAAAAAACCTCTTGGACAAGATTTTCACACAACATGAATGAGCCGGAGAATTTCGGTAGAGCAAAGAGACGGAAAAGGGATACTGCATCATCATGATCAAGTGGCTCCAAGGTGATTGGATCGCCAAATCTTGGAAATGCAACTCTTGAAGTAACCAAAATCTTCTAATTTGATATATGGAATTTAAACTTCTCAACAAGGGCTTCTGACCCGGGCCAAACATCATCCTGGACCAACAACATTGAACTTTCCCCAAAACCAACTTGCCTCAGCAAATGTCCCAACTGGATAATTGCATCTTCATCACTTTGAAAATCAGGCACCCTACATCCACAGTGTTCAAATAAAGTCTGTACAATGGTCTTCAAGTTGGGTGTTTCTGACACGGTCACAAAGAAGATGTTCCCACCGAACTTGCCTAATCAAACCAAGCAAACTTTCTAAATCAAGGAGCATATGAGGTTTTGTACTTTTCCAGAATGCATGCCATATATTATAACTGAAAAATATACTTAAAAATTTTGTTTTTAACCTCCAAACAGTTCTCATAATAGGAGTAGCTGACATTATTATTTCTATGTAAACATGGCAGAGAGAAACTTCCTTCGCCTTCCTCACACCATGTTATTTATTAACTAAAGGAGTAAATATGGAAATGGTAAAAAAAAAAAAAAAAAGAATAAATATTGAATCTCATTCTTAACCAATTGAAGAACACAAAGAACATTTTAGGAAAAAAGAGTCTTCTAAGGCCACATTACCTCTGACTTGGTCGTCCCAGCAGAGCTTCTTGGCCAATATGCTTTTTCCCGATCCTACCAAACCAGTCAACATCAACACCAAGAAACATCACCATTCTTGAGCAGCTCAATCTTCAACTTCTCCAAAGGCTTATCCAACCCCACAGTAAATTCTGGATTTTCAGGAGCCCCACTAAGACCCCTTAACATATTCTCTCTCCCATGATTTCCCAACCCAGCATAATTATGGATCTCTGTCACCTTGGACAGTGTCTCCTTCAAATCCCTTGCCATGTGAACTTGCATATCCTGAGATAAAACCCTCCCAAGCATCTTATCTCTTTTCCTAAGCTTGTCACGGTTCTGAGGATAAAAAGGAAACCTCCACCAACGAATTTCTGAGCACTTGTTCACAAGCTCTTTACCAGCTTTCATTTCATTTTCCAACCTTTCTACTTCTGCTCTGGGACGATCCAATTTCATGTTGCATTGTATGATCTCTTCCACCAAAGGAGTCAAAGCATCCAAGGTGTCTTTTTTCCTTTCAAGGGTAGGCTTGAAATCTCGACCTTTGGCTATGAATTCTAGAGCATGTTGTAGCCCCTCTTGCATTCCAGCTCCAACGGAACCTCCACTAAAAAAACTAGCTTCCATAACTTTCCTTCTTCTTTCTCAACTCTACAAGTATACCAAACACCCCAGATTCCCAAAATCACAAATTTCCGTGGGATCAACTTCTTCTGAATTAAACAAATGAAAACACACTGAACCAAAAAAGCTTCACCAAATGCAACTGTTCCACTTAGACAAGATAATTTTATTGCGGAATGCCTCACCACCAGGAAATTTCCTTTCTCTTTATGTTATTATCTAATCCACTGACGCGGAAACTACACGCTTTTACTTTCAGAGTTTCACACACAAAGGACGAACCTAAGTAGAATAGGAAGAGACACTTAAATCTTATCCAGTGAAATGATCCTCTCATTTTAATAGAAATCTATAACTTAATTCAAACTATCATCAAGGCCTCTGAGCACTAGTTCATTACCAAAAATGGATCTTCTTATGATTATACGAAGATATTCACAAAATTTTACATGACTTGGCCTGGTGTGAAATTTTAATACGAAGATTTATTCCCTTTACGATAAATAATTAAATTTCTCTTACACGGAAATCAACTGATTCCTTTTGTCATATTGTACAAAACTGCAAATATCTCACAGTAAATTTATATTTTTCAGAAGATCATACTTCTTTCATCTCTTCATGATACTTCTTTTATCTCTTCATGAATGACTTACCCATTCACTAGAAGGTATTTTGTTCATAAATTGCATTAGATTTTATGAATTTTATCAGTTCTGTTGCAATGATTATAAGTTAGCTTTTTTGTTTGCAATCAAAGAACAATATTCTAAGAATTTGCTCATTTTGTTTGAAATTCAATTCTTCTGTATATATCTTTCCCACATTCTCCCAGTGAACTGCAAATGAAGAATAGGTCTTGATCTTCAATAACTCTGCCGCAGAGCACACCAAGAAATTGGTGAAATTAATGATGCAACATTTTTATTTAATTTGGCTGGGAAGACTATGGTTGTGGGAGTATTTGGTGAAATTAATGATGAAATCAGATGATTGATTTACTGTATCTTGTGATCCCACTCTACACATAAATGAGAAAACATGCATATTTTTATTACGAAAAAAAAAAAAAGGTCATGCCAAAATAACAGTATCATCAAATACCAATTCCTGCTTTTTACACAATTATTACATGGAAAAGATGTTTGGTGAGAGGTAAAACAAGAGGACCAACAGTGATACAACTTTCAAATTACTCCAAGCCACCTTAAGAACTTCAAGAAACTAGTCTCAGGATTGAACTCCGGGAAGCCAATTTAAGCTAATGTCTGCTTTAGACAACTCTATCTTCAGATTTGGAAGTTTAGAAAAATGATCCCATAAAGCAGCCACCTCTTCGTCACAGATAACATATATTTGATGCTTTAAATCCCCAAAGTTCATGACTGAGTATGGCAGCTTACTCATCCTAGAGCAACCCCACATATAGAGCTTCTCAAGACTATGCAATTCACCAATGTCCTCAGGTAATTGGGCAAGGTTTACACAGTCTGAGATGTCAAGACAGCACAGTTTTTGAAGTCTTCCAACAGATTCTGGTATCTCTAGCAAATCAGAGCAGGAACTAAGCCTTAGCAATTCCAAATTCTCAAGTTCTCCAATTTCTTGCGGCAGTGCAGATAGCTTGTGACAGTTAGTAATGCTAAGCTTCTTCAAGGTGGTAATTTTACAAACCTCAGCAGGCAATTCTACCAGATCATTGCAATAGTCAATGTTCATCTCCACCAGATTTGGCAGTGCTGCTGAAATTTGGATGGAACTGCTTTCAAAAGCATGCTTTGTATTACACATACGAAGGGATAATTTTTGCAGACTCTTCAGTTTACATAGACAAGGAACTGAAACCTTCTCCAACCTGATTCTTTTAAGGTCAGACAAACAACCAAGTAGCTCAAATTTGTTTAACTCTGAAGGATGGAAACCGTAATTTGTGACTATTAAAACTTTAAGTTTACTCATTCTGTCAGTGAAACCCGGCAAGGTGTACTTGCTAGATTGAATATTCAAAACCAGAACCTCTGCTTGATCAGGTTGTATGTTGCACCAATCTGAAGTGAATGTTTCATCTGCAAAAGCATCCTATATAGCTTCAAAATTGAATATGATAAATGCCACAACACAGAATCCATTCATATTAGCATTTTTTTTGGGATATTATCCATTGGTTCATCAATTACTCGACTAGTTCGATTCAAGTCAGGTCATATGGGACACAAAACTCTTCCTACCAAATTTTAACACAACTGTGTTCCCAAGGACTCGATCTCGAGATCACTCGTTAAGCTGGAACAACCCATTACCAATTGATTCACGTGCTTGGTGGTTCAGATTAGCATTTCTTATTAGTCTGTTTGTGCATATAATTTAAACACACACTAAGAGAAGTAGATAGAGAAACTAACCAGTTGAAATAGACAATGTGCGAGCAACCACCTGTTGTGGCTTCTGCCCCATCCACCTTAAGGGAAAGAAAGATGACAATACCCGAGAAATGATACTTTGCTCATTCTGTCCTACCCACCATTCAGGATGATTATTTCCACTCAAGTCCATCATCAATCTTTCCCTCTGTTCAAATGGTTCTTTGCTGCTTTGAAGGATTGCTAGCTCTCTAAGGAGATCATGCTGTGTGAGGAAGTGGTTATTGTAGTACAAATCTCTATCCGTTGCAATTTTCCTGGTCAACAAGCAGAATTAAGTTAACCAGGGAAACCATAACCCTTTAAAAGAACAATAACATTGAGTCTATTTGATAATGTAGTTTAGGTTTTTTTTACTACTTTGCCTCCAGGGTGACAAGTGGAAAGTCACGGTTAGATAGGCTATTAAATCATTTATGATGCTATTGTATAGATCCATTCACTGAAAAGTATATCTTTCAATTTGGTATACGTAATTCATAGATTGTATCTTAATCAAATGCCATGAAGGAATGCATTTAAATTACATCTTTCTTAAAGCGATCCACAATTTAAGAACAAACAAACTCATCAATAATGAAATATTAGAATATCTTGAAAATATTTCATACTATCTTGATTGTATCTTAGAGTTTTGGAGTATCTTCGGTATCCCTTATTAGTGGTTTTCATATTTCATTGTATTTCATGATATGTTTCATAGTTTGTCTACTATTTGAAGCTTACAAATGTTGATCCTGATGAACTTAGATAAGTTTTAGTTTTTGTTATTTATAATTGCATGCCATGAAATTTTCACAAGTAAATATTCCAACAAAATCTCTTCTTTTTTGGTCATACAACATTGTAACTAACTCTTTAGGCTAATGATCATTTCAACCTAAGTAATCTTTCCACGAAAGCTCATCTCTCTCACATTTCTATCATGGCAGAAGTGAGAGCAATCCTTATACGCAGCTTACCTTTACACATTTGCAAAGACACTATTTCCCGGATTTGAACCCGTGACCTTTCAATCACAAAGAAGCAGCTTTTACAACTGCTCGAGGCTCGCCCTTTTTTAGTATGAATCATGTTATCAAAAGAAAATATTTAGGCTTTCTACTATCATGATGCAGAGCATTAAATTAATATATATATATATATATATATATATTATGTACCTTCGAACTATGACATTAACCAAATTCTTATTGGTTAAATTATGGATGATGTCCATTGCTTTCTTGCCATCCTCGTCTCGTTCATGCAGTTCAGCCCACATGTCAATCAGGGCAGGAACACGGATCCTTTGGTCTTCAGGAAATAGTCCTAGGTCCATGAAACACTCTTTCTCCTTGATGGAGGACTCGTCTTCCAATATATCCAAGCAATTTTGGAGGCGATTCAATAAGTCATTATTAGACTTAAGAATGGATTGACTTTTCAACCGTTCTTTCATAATTTGCCATTTCTCTAAAGGCTGATTACAGAGAGATCCACCAATGACTTCAAGGGCCAAAGGTGAACCCTTACAACCTCTCACTATCTGCATTTCAGTGCAAGCAACTAAAATCAGTATTGTATATGATAACATGGATGCAAGTATTATAGTGAAGTTATTGCTTTGAATGGGAGACAAGGATCTAACTTTCTTCTAGTAACCATTTTCTTTATACCTTGTTAATTTGTAAATATTCGAAAAACATACAATTTTTGACTTGCAACATTTGATATGTCTCAATGGTGTGAAAGATTTTAGAGAAGTAGAAGAACATAAAATAAGTATATTATTATACATCACAAGGTAAGAGAAAAAACCTCTTGGACAAGCTTTTCATCCAACATGTATGGGCCGGTTAATTTCAGTTGAGCAAAGTGACGGAAAAGGGATACTGCATCATCATGATTAAGTGGCTTCAAGTTGCATGGATTGCCAAATCTAGGAAATGCAACTCTTGAAGTAACCAAAATCTTGTAATTTGATATCTGGAATTTAAACTTCTCAACAAGGACTTCTGACCCAGGCCAAACATCATCCAGGACCAACAATATTGGACTTCCCCCAAAACCAACTTGCCTCAGCAAAAGTCCTAACCGGTTAGTTGCATCTTCATCACTTTGAAACTCAGGCAACCTGCGGCCACAGTGTTCAAATAAAGTCTGTACAATGGTCTTCAAATGGGGTGTTTTTGACACGGCCACAAAGAAGACGTTCCCACCGAACTTGCCTAATCAAATGAAACAATTTTCTAAATCAAGGAGCATTCGAGGTTAGGAACTTTTCCAGAATGCATGCCATATATGAGCAAGTGAGCATTTCACTCGACTAAAAGAGTAAAAATTTAGATAAGATGTTATATTATACTGAAAATACACTTAAAAGCTTTGTTTTCAATCTCCAAACTCCAAAGATTTTGTTGACCAAGAAAAACAACGGTTCTCATAATGGGAGGAGCTGACATGATTTCACTGTAAACATAAACTACCTTTTCCTTCCTCACACCATGTCCTAGACCTCTTGTCTAAAGTGAAAAATGGCTTAAAGGAATCATTATTCTTTTATACATTTAGAAAGCCTCAAATGGTGAAATGGAGGGGAAAAGGAAAAAGCAACATCAACCTTAATCTCTGCTTAAAGCCAACATTCTTTCTTTTCTTTTTTTTTCGCTTTTTCCTACGTAATATTCCATATGATTGGATACTATACTATATATAGTACATGCTATGTTATTTATTCACTAAATTAGTAAACATGGAAATGGTAAATAAAAAAGAACAAAAATATGAAATCCCATTCTTAACCAATTGAAGAACACAAAACATTTAGGAAGGCCACAAACCTTTGACTTGATCGTCCCAGCAGAGCTTCTTGGCCAATGTGCTTTTTCCCGATCCTGCCAAACCAGTCAACATCAACACAGAAACACCACCATCCTTGAGCAGCTCAATCTTCAACTTCTTCAAAGGCTCATCCAACCCCACAGTAAATTCTGGATTTTCAGGAGCCCCACTTAGACCCTTCAACAGTGTCTCTTTCCCATGATTTCCCAGCACAACATACTCCTTAGTAAGAATCTCCAGAATCTCTCTCACCTTGGACAGTGTCTCCAACGAATCCCTTACCATCTGAACTTGCATATCCTGAGATAAAACCCTCCCAAGCTTCTTATCCCTTTTCCTAAGCTTGTCACGGTACTGAGGAAAAGAAAGAAACCTCCACCAACGAAATTCTGAGCACTTGTTCACAAGCTCTTTACCTGCTTTCATTTCATTCTCCAACCTTTCAACCTCTTCTCTGGGACGATCCAATTCCATGCTGTATTGTTTGATCTCTTCCACCAAAGGAGTCAAAGCATCCAAGGTGTCTTTGTTCCTTTCAAGGGTAGGCTTGAAATCTCGACCTTTGTCTATGATTTTAAGAGCATCGTGTAGCACCTCTTGTATTACAGCTCCAACGGCACCTCCACTGAACAAACTAGCTGCCATAACTTTCCTTCTTCTCAACTCTGCAAGTATACACAACACCCCAGATACCCAAAATCACAATTTTCTGAATCAAACAAATGAAAGCCACAATGAACCAAATTCTGAACGAGATAATTTTATAGTTGAGCCAATCAGAAACTTACAAAGCACAAGCGAGGTTCCTTGTTCAACACAAAAGTATGACCTAGGTCCCACTCCATGGTAAAAACATTAACATTTCTCAAATGCTTTGCCAAGAAATTTCCTTTGCCTTTTATATTATTATCTAATCCACTGACGCGTTCTTAAAAAATCTAACTGTACACTTTTATTTTCGGAGTTTCACACACAAGGGACAAATCTTAGGAGAATAATAACAGACAGTAATATATTTTATATAGTGAGGTAATACATATTCAATAATATTAAAAGGAGAAATTTCTCTGAAAATCAACTTATGCCCTTTACAAACTCGCAAATATTTCATTCTTGTTCGAGGAATCATCCTTTCAAGCGTCATAGCTTACATATGTTGCATAGACATGACATGGAAAATGAGATCCGTACATTAATTTTAAAAATTGCGCTTTGATATTAAATAATATTTTTAATATATATAATATTTAATATATATAACAACTCATAATAAGTCATATAATTAATCAAATTTTCAAATTCAATAACATAAATATAAAGTAAAATAATTTTTCATGTCAAATTCAATAACAGAAAAAAAATTGATTTACAAATTATTTTTTCATGCTTAATTAATAAAATAAAATTTAGATATAAAAAAAAACATATCAAATGCGTGTTGGCGCGTTGATCATATGTTGACAAATTATTTTTTCATGTTTAATTAATAAAATAAAATTTAGATATAAAAAAAAATATCAAATGCATGTTGGCGCGTTGATCATATGTTGAAAAAAGTTGATTGCATGTCCAAACGCGTGTCGAAACGTGTCATCGAAGTATTGACTGCATGTCTCAAAATATTAATCGCGTGTTAAACACATATCAAAATATATCGGAGCGTGTCAGTGTTTGACAAACAAAATTTTTTAAAAAGTGCATGTCAATGCTTTCCACGGTTACATAAAGAATCTCAATTATTATAAATTAACGGTGATGAAATAATGCATCTAGACAAATAATAAGAAAATTGTTATGGACCAATATAATGGACCTAAGGGTCTGTATATGATCGAGTCTAGTCCTATTCTCATATATGAAATGCTCTATAAAAGGGGATTCATGTCACAAGTATTCATCTTTGCACATTAGGTCGTTGTACATGTACACTACCCCCATTTGTCCTCTACCTTCTCATCGTGCATAATGATCTGTCGTAACTTGTAGTTGTCTTCTCCATAAACACTGCAAACTCTCAGATCCAACGGTTGATCCTCAGGAGTCACACAAAAATAATAACGGTTAATTTGTATATGATAATTTATATACTTTCACATTATGTCATGTATTGAGAAAATTCATTCTCTATTTTATAATGAACAAAAATAATAAGTTAGTTTGTATATGATAATTTAGATACTTTCACATTATCTCATGTATTGAGAAAATCTATTCTCTATTTTATAGTTGTTCAGGCTATATTGATCAGTTTTCATATGCAAAAAACTAATCTTTAAAAATTTAAAACTAAATAAAAAAAATGTTTCAATATTCGTCGAAGCTTCAACGATCAATGATCAACGAGAATTGCAAAGAAATGCACATTGGGTTAACATGAATTAAGTAACCGTGTTGTGGTGTGGAATAAAGTAACCGTGTTGAATATTGCGTTAACACTAATAAAGAGTTGAGCCAATTCTTGGGCTGCTCGTGGCGTGATTTATCACCAACTCAACCGATTAAAAACTTAAATTACTTGTTAAATGAAATGAAATTTAGGTGTAGAAATGTGTAACTCACACTTGGCATATGAAAGCTCAACAGATAAGATAAGAAGATTTAAAACCAAAACCTCAACTACTTCAGCTGGTAGCATATTGTCCCGAGTTGGGGCGACCTTAATGTCTGCAAAAATATTTTGTTTGGTGTCAAGTGTAGAATATTAGACGACTGAACCGTCTTTGCTAGCTTTTTGTGTCAATGTGCAAACTGCAATTTGAACATGCATTTTGGAGAGGAGACAATATTGGGGCCGTTCGATTGAACTTTTTTCCAGTCAAAAGTTATTTTATTTTATTTCCAAAAAAAGCACTTATATTATAAAGTACACTTAGATGTCTGTTTTTAAAAATTAGAAGTCATAGAAAAAAATCAAAAATCTATTTTTTTCAGAAGTTAAAAATTTTAGCTTTTCAAAAAAATAAATGTCAAAAGTTATTTTATTTTTTTCCAAAAAAAGCACTTATATTATAAAGTGCATTTAGATGTCTGTTTTTAAAAATTAGAAGTCATAGAAAAAAATCAAAAATCTATTTTTTTTAGAAGTTAAAAATTTTAGCTTTTCAAAAAAATAAAAGTCAAAAGTCAATTTTTTATAAGTAGGATATAAAAGTAATTTTATTTTTTTTAGATGACAATCCAAACATGTCACTGGGACGGCATTTTGCTGGTGTTCTGTGGAGGCATATTATTTTCATTTTATGTCAAAAAGGTACAACGAATGGCTTTGAGTTTAGACAAACAAAACTCGTACAGATAACTCCAATGTATCTGAAATTATTTGACCTGCTATGTGTGTAGTGCTAACTCCAATGTCACAGTATAAAGATTTACAAAATTTTCGGTGACTTCAAGTTTGCTTTTCCAAGATTTGGCAGCCAGAGCATCTTAAAACCATTTGGTGATTATGATACAATAGCCCTATTCTGTCAGTTTTGTTTTTGGAAGAAAGAATCTCAATCAACTATTCCAATGAATAGTTTTTTTTTTTTTTTTTAATAAATACCTTTTAGGTCCCTGACAAATTTCACGGTACCCTCTTTGGTCCTTTGCAATAAAAAAGGCCACTCATTGTCCCTTTAATTTGAAAAAAAAAAGTCACGTTAATCCTTTTTTTAGTGGAGCTCAAATGGCATCATTAACATTGTTTGCATGTAACGTTTGTTTTTGGAAGAAAGCATCTCAAATATTCCATTGATTTTTTATTTATTTTTTGAATAAATACCCTTTTGGGTCCCTAACAAATTTCACGGTGCCCTCTTTGGTCCCTTGCAATAAAAAAGGTCACTCGTAGTCCCTTTAATTTGAAAAAAGAAGTCACGTTAATCCTTCTTTTAGTGGAGCTCAAATGGCGTCATCAACATTGCTTACGTATAACGTTTAAGTGGGCTGACTCATATTCCACTTAAGATCAAAAACGACTCATGCAACCTTCTGACTTTTTTTTTTCTTCTTCTTCTCTGCAATACAAGTCCTTCCACAATTTGTTGACAAAAATGCAGGAAGAAGAGGAAGCCTCCAAAAACATAACAGTAGGATGGAGATAGATCCTATTATCCTAAATAATACTTTCAGCCATCTCTTCATTTTTCCGGCTAGGTTTAGCTGTGCTAGATCTCAACGCAAATGTCCAGCTCTTCTCTTTATTCTATTGTCTCCAAATTGGTAAATGGTACAACATCAGAACAAATTTATGCATGTGGCTTTGTTCCTTCGCAAGGTACAGAAATTTACAAATAGAAGCACTCTACCGTAACCTTAAAGAGCTGCATCATCTTCATCGGACACCCAACTCTGAAGCTCATCATTCCCTACAAATGCAGAGATGATTATAAAATTGATAAAATGCAATGGATTTTTCTAATCCAATGTAATTACTATTGTTTTGTATGTTGGGCTAAATTCACCAGATAAAAAAAATATATCACATTAAAAGCTATGTCCAAAGCAAAGAGAAATTTCAGCAACCAAGTAAAAATTTAGAAAAAAGTAATGATAAAGTAGACAGCCATAGAATAGCAGCAGATTACAAATTATAGACTACTTGGACAGAAGCCGAGTCAAAAGTGTAACATCCCCGTCTCGAGCCGGTTCAATTAACATGCATATGATATAAACAGAAATAGCGGAAGACTTAACTTACGAAAATACGAGCTAACTTTTTCTTTTTCTACTTTAATTCTTACTCGGCGTAAACGAAAATCGGGCAGAGTTTTCTCTATAAATCGGACAACTGGGGATTTTTCAATCCCACTTAGAAGCATTTCCTGATAAACAGTTTATACAGCACATCACTCCAGAAGTACCAGTCATGCAAATATAATCAGATACTCATCCATGGGCGCATGCATAACTTGGCTCAGTGCCGCTAATCTAACAGCATGCAATCCAATACATAAACATAACTGAATATTACATAGTCATATCAACATGCTTGAATGTACATGCATCAAACTGAAGAACATGTACAAGACATATACATGCCATATACAAAGTAAAGGATCTAACATCCTGATCCATCAAATGCGAAAATATGAAATAATATAAATGCACTCCAAAAAGTTAGCAGCCTACAGCTACTCAAAAACTGATCTGTCCCCAACGCCTCAACCACGGGTCGCGTCTCTTCCTAGTGAGGACTCACCGGGAATCTGGACACCTGAAAATATGTCCCCAAAGAGGGGTGAGATTACAAATCTCAATAAGCTCCAGGTTTATCGAGAATTCTCCATACCCCTGGCTCACTCCTGCACGAAAGTCAGATACAGAGTATACAATGCATTTATAACAGATATCATAACAGAACAGAACATATTTCATATCATATCATATCAGAGGCGTGCGCCGTCATTCCCAAGGGAGGACCCCAAGCGGAACCAGTAGAGGCATGCGCCGTCATTCCCAAGGGAGGACCCCAAGCAAAAATCAACGCACATGTTCCCAAGGGAGGACCCCAAGAGGAACCAGAACATGTCAGAGGTGTACATCTTCAATCCCAGGAAAACCCCAAGAAGACATCAGTGTACCATACCATCAATACAGAAATCATATCAGAACAAGTCATATCATGTTATCAAACAACTCTATATGAATGTATCTATACAAAGCATCTAAACAACAGTCATACAGTCCAACCATAGTTCACTAACCATGGTGGAGCACTCAAG